AGAGGCTCCTGGGCTAGGCTGGGAGCACCCAAGAGGCGCCTAAGGCCCGAAGAGGCTTTCAAGCAGTCCCTAGAAGTCTTGAAGATGTCCCATGAGAACCCTAAGCGGCCGCCAAGAGGCCTCATGCTGTCATCAAATAGGCCCCGAAAGGCTCCCAACGAGATCCTAACGAACACGCAAAAGGCCACGCAACACACAACCCCGGCATCACACACAGAAGACACAAGAGGTCACATAACATACAAAAGGTGAGTCACATGACACATGCCATACACATCACAGAACAGAACAGTATCACGGAATATATCATCACCCTTCATCACTGCCATCATTTTGGATCACAGGGCTCGTTGTGAACGTGCGACTCTTCAGCGACAATTGTCCTTGTGAGTGTCGGTTCACTGACTTGAGCCTAGGCCGCAGACCATGGAGTGGGAAGATGATCTTATGGGGGGGGCCCAGGGCGCCGGCGTGGGGGAAGAAGTCCAGCCGCCTCCACATCCGCACGCCTCTGGCCGTGGTCGAGGGGGCAGCAGAGGCCGCGGCAGCGGCAGAGGCCGCGGCGGCCGCGGGCGATCCAGCTCTGCACCTGCCACCACCACCAAGTGTTTTGCGCGGCAGTGCAACGAGAAGAAGAAGTCCAACAGCAAGTTCTGCCCCAAGCACCACAGGAGCGCTGAGAACATCAAGAATCAGGCAGAGAGGGATGGCGAGTTGCAGACCTACGAGCAGATCTTCAATGACCCAGTGAAGGCTGATCAGGCTTTGGAACAATTTGATAGGGACAATTGCGATGGGCGCTTCCGCAAGAAGCTCATCGAGTGGGGCCAGTGGAAGAGGCAATTCGGCGTCAAGGTCAGCACGAAGACACAGGGCATTGAGGAGTGGCTCGACGTGGCGGAGTATGTCGATCTGAGAACGAGGAACATGCCAGAGGGCCCCGATAAGGAGCAGCTCAAGATTGCGAAGACTAAGGAGTTCGAGGAGATGCGCAATGCGCCTGGCATCGAGATGGAGGGGGGAGTGGCCCAACACTCGCATCTGGGTCTGTGTGAAGAAACAACGAATTGGAGAAGTTGAGAGGTTCATCGACACTGGGTTCGAGGAAGCGTCGAAGCAGATGAAAGACATGGCCAAGGATGGGAAACCAGCTCAAGCAGTACACTCTCACCTCAGCTCCTTCCAGCAGCAACGCTTTCCTGGTGGGGGCGCTCGGGAAGGGCACCGGCGGGTGGGGTGACGACGGCGACCTAGAGGGCGTGGCGAAGCAGGCGAAGCCGAGTGATGATTCCAAAGATGGCGGGCCTCATAAGAAGCTGAAGCACGTTGACATTGCCGCCGTGGCGCCCAATCTTACAGAAAAAGCTCGCGGCCAAGCTCGACAAAGTGGAAAAGAGTGCTACTTCCCAGATGAAGGCGATGCAGGCGGCTCTTGCAGAGGCTGATCCTTCATTCGACGACGACCATGCCATGGTGATTACACAAGAAGATCGTGCGCACTCGCATGGAAGCGCTGCGCCTTTGGCTTGGCTCTGCTGGTCAGGCTCGAGCTGTGGACGAGCATCCGTCGTCGTCGCCGATGAAGCGGCAATCGACGTCCGAACAGCTCGCCGAGCAGCAGATAGTGGCATCGGAAGAACCAGCCAAGGGTGGTGGGAAGGCCAGGGATGGAAAGGACGACGAGAAGAAACATGATGGTAACAACAAAGGCAGCGACAGCCAAGACAACTCGAAGGACACTCCTGATGTCGCAGCTGATGCAAAGGCCGTGGCCCTGGCAGCATCAGAGGGCAGTGGGTCAGCACCCTCAGCAGGCCCAGCGACGCCCACGACCGAACAGAAGAAGAAGGAAGGCTCCTCTGTCAAGTCAGGCACCAGCACGAGCGCGGCGGAGAAGCAGAGCAGGATCTTGAGAACACATTTAGCTGAGCAAGGGGTTCGTGGCCAAGTGACCAATGACAACTCAAGGTTGATCTCGCTGCCTGAGTTGCGGAATAACATTGAACAAATCCCCAACGCGACAACAGTAAAAGAACTCAATGATATCGAGACGACCGTGAATGTGGGTTGCGAGTTCTTCTGTCAGTTCAACTTGTCACTGAAGCAATCTACGTCGGCTCTGACAGGGCACCTCAAGAACCAGAAGAACCGGGCCGACAGGGATCAGCGGAAGAAGGACATGGAGGAGGCCAACCAAGCTATCAAAGCTTCGAATGAGAAGACGAAGCGCTTGCAGGAGAAGTTGAAGGCAACAGCTAAGTCGGCGCCACCTCTTTTCAAGCTTCAGCCCGATGAGCTGTCGGCGAAGGACCTGATCAAGGCTGTCATGACTGCTGATGCGGGAAAGGGGCTGGACGATGACAACATCTTAGCACCTCTCGTCATCAAATCGCCGCCTGACTGGAAGCAAGCATCTGAGCAGCCCGTGCTCGCAGTCCAGCTTGGGAAATTCGGCGCGAGCTACAAGAACTCGCAGGAGTGCAAATCATCAGGCCGCGTCCAAGAGCCTCTCTTCACTGGTGAGGGGACGGAGATCGCTGACCAGTTCTTGGAGAAGCTCTTGAAGGACGTGAGCCAGAATATCCAGGTCAACGCGGCTACGGCTACGGACAACGTGAATGTTTTCAAGAGCGTCTTGGAGAGTACGTGGATGTGGGGCTACAGGATTCCAAATTACAATGTTGGTCAGACCCCGAACGGCCTTGGGATGATCAAAACAGTGGTGTACGGTTCAGTGACCATGTTGCTATTCGATGTTGCGCAATTGGTCCCAGCGCTGCGACAGATACACGGGAAGGACAGCGTCGCGCTCCAAGAGTTGGTGAAGTCTATCGAGGCGTTGGGCTCCAACGAAATGAAGGAGTTAAAAGAAAAGGGCACGATCATTCAATATACAACGCTCAACGCCGGTGATGCTATCTATGTTCCCTCAGGCTGGATTCTCGCAGAGAGCGTGTTGAGTGGTGCGATGGTTTACGGTCTTCGGAGGACGATTATGTTCAGAGGTGCTGGCTCGGCTTCCTACGGCGAGTTGTTAGGCCTGACGGCCAGCAAGAAGCATCCCAAGCAGGAGGCGGTCGCGAAGTTTCTGAAGAATGCGGATGATGACGATGAGGACTCTTGAAAGGTTTGCTGCGGGCTGCGATCTGGCAGTGCAGGCGCCTCAGCTCCCTTCTCCACGAAACGAGTTTATCTACACCTTGCACGCACTTCATCTGCAATCGCAAATCAACCGTGCACTAACAACCCACCAACACATTCATACATCACACCGCACCTCTCCTTCCCTCACACCACGCACCACACGCATGGATCCAACATCCACGTCCCGACTCCTTTCGTTAACCTTTCCTTCTCACTGTGCGTATCTCGTTACCTCCCACCCCCCTCCGAAAAGACAATCAGGTCCAACCTCGCCCATCCATGTCTGTCATGCGTGCTTTTTTGGTTCTGGGTGATTGGCGGTGCGGCCAGCGCCCCTCTGCCACATGCGAGCTCACTGGACGGCAGTGGCTGCAACAATGACGGGGTTCTTGAGAAATGAGGAAAATGTCCTGCTATCCCAAAAGCTTTCGCCGCTCCATGCCCTCCCAGCCCACGTCCGAGAGAGCTGACATGAGGTCTTCAGAGGGTCCCAAATAAGGGAGGAGAGGGAGAAGGAGAGGAGAGGAAGGATGATGATGATGATGATGAGGAGGAGGAGGAGGAGGAGAAGGAGGAATATGAGGGGGAGGGGGGAGGCTCCCCCAAGAGGCCCAACAGAGGATCCCAAGATGCCTAAAAGAGGGGCCCAAGATGCTCCGATGCCTCCCAACAGGCTTCAATTCTGCCTTTCAGAGGCCCTCCGATCAGCTTATGTCCAAACGATCTTCCAAGAGACCTCGCAACCCAGGCACGGTGCCTGGATGGGCTGATCGCCGTTAGATGCCTTAGTCTGGGGGGACTTGCGCGCGTGATAGTATAGGTTTGCATTATAACAATGAATTTGAAGCTGACCTCACCTGCGAAGCTGGAAACAACATGCAAAACTTCACTTATGTATGAGTTCCTAGACACTTTTAGTGAAAGGTGTAAAAACACCTTTAATCAACCTATTCCAGCTAGGCCGCTGGATTTCCACGCACCAGCCCCGAATACGCCCTGGGAAGAGGGCTCTGTGCAACCTAGCAGGTCCCGCTTCCAGGGGAAACCGCGGAGTTCCGCCGCCGGACGAGGCGGCACCGGCCGCATTTTGGAGAGGCCACCTCCCCGGATCCATGGACTCAAGTCACTTTCGGGTATAGGCAGGACCCCGGGTAAGGGGGTAAGGGGACCCGGTTAGTGGTAGGGCCTTGGGCTCCTCAATTGGCCAGATTCACTAAACCAGGTTTGCCGTAACTGGTGTTTTTCGGGTGACGGCAGTTCCGGTTAGTGGAAATGGGACGGGGGGGGGGCGCCCCCGGTACAAATCACTAAGCCAGGTTCCATTAGACCCAGTTCTGCCAACGCCCGAGACTTGGCGACCGCGCGCCAGATCCATGGCTCGCTATTCCACGGGAGGAGGAGGAGGAGGAGGAGGAGGAGGAGGAGGAGGAGGAGAAGGAGGGAGGGGGAGGAGGAGGGAGGATGAGGAGGAGGAGGAGGGGAGGGAGGGAGGGAGGAGGAGGAGGAGGAGGAGGAGGAGGAGGATGTCCAGTGGGGCACCGCGTCGTGGTGCCTCGCCTGCCTGCTGCACGAGCGATGAGCATCTCGCTCGTGCGGCAGGCAGGCCCCGGGGCGCGCCGGTGCGCCACGTTTTGCGGGGGGGCGCGCACCTCTCCGGGCTCGCCACTCCGCGCGCGCGAGCCTGGAGAGGCGCGCCCCCCCGTGAAACACGGCAGGAGGAGGGAGTCAGAAGAAGGGCCGCGAGGGCTTCGAGCTCAGCTGGGCCGCCCCGGAGAGGGCCTCGCATCCGGCGCACCTCGCACCCCGCCCTCGGCGGTTTCGGGAAGCAAGGGCGAGACGTCAGCTTTTGTGGATCCATGGTTTCCGGAGTCGGCAAGCAGGAGTCGGAGAAGCAGAAGGTGGGTGGCAGAGGAGGGAGGGGGGAGGCAAATGCTTGCATGGGGGCTGAACAGGGTTTGGTCGGAAGGTCCCGGCGAGTCATTGACATTATCTTCCTCCGCCTCCTCCCAGAGTGTCGCCACACATGTTTGAAGTCTGGGCGCCCAACTCAGAAAAAGCGAGCTATAAGGCTAGGCGAATATGTTGACGGTCGGTGCCTGAGGTTCCTTTCTTCATTGTGAAGCTCACGACGTAAGTGTTGGGATGCAACGCTAGGGCGGTGAAATTCAGCATCGGCGCGGGTATACCCGTGGTCGACACCGGCCCCATCTGGCAGAATCCCGCGCAATCCCGATTCATCCTTTTCGATTCGGTGTACTCCCCCGCTTAATCCAGCCTGATCTGGCTCACCCCGTCATCGGGCTTCATCGCTTTAGTCCAAGGGAGGAAAATCCACCTGGACCGGAGAATTGGCGTTCACTAAACGGCCCTGGGCGTTTACTAAACAGCCCTCCCTGCCCTGTTCGATTCCTTCTTCGGGCGCGTTTACGAATCGACTTCGCGTGTCGAGGTGCTTGTTATCGGGGTGGATCTTCTGCCCTCTATCAATTCCTTCTTGCAAAGACCTCCCATCATGAGCAACGAGAGGGGGGGGGATAGGCATAGGGAGGGATCCATCGACCCCCAATTACCCACTGATCGCCGATAGGGGCCCGATAGCCCCGACCTGCCCAGGAAGGTGCGGATTCACTGTCGGAGGCCTATCGCCGATCCATCGGCCATGTACATCGCCGACTCCGGGTCGATGCACCCCCCACCATGCCAGCCTCCCCTCTTACCGTTGCCCCTCGTCCCAGGAGGTGCTTCCCGAGCGAGTGATTGGCGGCGCCCACCGCGAGAGGGGCGCCATTCGGATCCGTGGAGCATCGCCGTGGCCCGTGCCCGCGACGAGCTCCAGCGCGGAGGCCGCGCCGCCGCCCTCGGCGGAGGAGTTCGTGCGGCGGTGGGGCCTGGACGAGAAGGCCGCTGCGGCACGTGTCTTGCCCTTGGATTTGCACTGGTCCTCCACCGCCTCCTCCTCCTCCTCCTCCCCCTCCTCCTCCTCCTCCTCCTCCTCCCCCTCCTCCACCTCCTCCTCCTCCTCTTTCGTGGGCGCTCGGCTTCTGAGGCATGGATGTCGAGGCTGCCAGCGCCCCGTCTGTGGTCCTCTGCAGCTGCGTCGCATCGCGCGCAGACGCCACTTTGCAGTCGAGGGGCGGCGCGCTGCACATGCACAAACTTTGGGAGGTCCGCGCGGAGATCCGACAGCTTAAGCTCATGTCGTCAGGGCTGGACCTAAACGGTGTTTTCGGCGATTTCGTGGGCCGTGTTCGTTTCGATTTCGTTTTGCGGTAAAGGCTGGTTGAAGACAAAACGAGGGAAAACGAGAACACAACGAGAACGAACAAACACCGTTTAGGTTCAGCCTTGCATATCGTGCTGTCTTCCTCCAATCGCGTGCACACGCCATGGCAAGACAAGCTGAACGGACGGGCTGCAGCGGAGGTCGGTAGGGAACCCCGCCAGTTTCGGGGACCGCGAACTATACACCTACGTACGCCGATCTTTGCCAGGGCCTTTGTCGTTGCTTAGTTTGCGTCCTACTGTCAACCCACCCCCATCACCTCTGAGCGGGCAAGGGATGGCGACGGATGAAGGGGAGGGAAGGAGGGAGGGGGGAGGGGAGGAGGGGAGCGAAGGATGGAGGGCAGAAGGAGGGAGGGAGGGCGACAGGTGAAGACGCAGGGAGAACCATGGGAGGAGGGTCGGATATCTTCCACAGCGCAACGAGCAGCCGCGTTCAACGATGCGTGTGTGGGTGGTGTGGTAGATGAGGTAGTGGAGGCGGAGGAGATGGGCGACCGTGATGCTGCTGCTGATGATGCTGATGATGCTGATGATGCTGATGATGATGATGATGCTGATGCTGATGCTGATGCTGATGCTGATGCTGATGCTGATGAGGGTGCGGATGAGGATGAGGCTGAGGCTGAGGCTGACGATGACGATGACGATGACGACGTCGATGACGATGTCGATGTCGATGTCGACGCTGATGATGCTGCTGATGATGATGATGATGAGGAGGAGGAGGAGGAGGAGGAGGAGGAGGAGTCAGGAGTCCCAGGACGAAGTCCAGAAAACCACCATTAGGATCCCTTGTGGGCCCAGGCCTTCTTGGCCCTTGCCGCGAGCTCGGCTTTACTGTAAACCTTGGGGAAAAGACCCCGCTCGATACGGCTCAAATACTCAGCACGGGTGTCGGTCACCACCTTGGGGCACACCTTACCGAGACCGAGCAACTGCTTATCCCCATACTTTCCACAAGACGCGCAGAATCAGATACCCAGGCCCTGGTGCAGACGCATTTTGTGGGAGGGGTGGCTCGACCCCCCAGCGATGTGTATCCTCGCCCCCTCGGGAAGTCCTCTGAGGGAGCCATCAATAGAAACGAGTCTAAAACACGGGGTTTCCCTCCAAGCACGGACCAGGGACACAGCAGCCGAACCCCGACAACGGCGGCAACGGCGCCCCGAATCGTCCAGACCATGGCTGGTTCCGGAAAAAGACAGGGTTTCGGCCGACGGCGGCGGGGGACCACAAGGGGAGGCACCGCGGGAGCGGGAGGAAGGGCGATTCCTTCAACAGTGCTCACGCCACCCGCAGGCCCCACAGGAGCCGTTCCCCGCCGCCGTCTAGGCTGACCACTACGGAGCAGGGGGGCAGACTCACTCAGAAAGTTCATTTCAGCCTCGAGCGCATCAAGGGTCGACCGCAAGATACGCATGCGAATCCAAAACATCTGATGCTCAAGTTGCATGATGGGACTGCGGACATGGAGCGGGAGCCTATGCTGAGAGGCCCCCCGAGTTGGCCAACACGTCGGCCACGAGGTTGCCTCGAACTAGCCACGACTCCCCTTTCCCGCAGACAACTTCCTTGGCCCCCAAGTGGCTGTGGGTGAACAAGACAGTGATGTGCCCCCGCTCGCGGTCGGTGACAAGTCGTGAAATGTGCCAGATTATGATGATGATGATGATGATGATGATGATGATGATGATGATGATGATGATGATGATGATGATGATGATGATGATGATGATGATGATGATGATGATGATGATGATGATGATGATGATGATGATGATGATGATGATGATGATGATGAGATTATGATGATGATGATGATGATGATGATGATGATGATGATGATGATGATGATGATGATGATGATGATGATGATGATGATGATGATGAGGTGGTGGTGTTGTGTTGGTGGTGGTGTGGTGGTGGTGATGATGATGATGAATGATTATATGATGATGATGAGGAGGAGGAGGGGAGGAGGAGGAGGAGGAGGAAGAGTAGGAGAGGAGACGGATGGGGGAGGGGGGAGGAGGAGGAGGGATGAGGGGAGGAGGAGGAGGAGGAGGCTGTGCTCCCTGGGCACTTGCCGAGGGCTCCCAGGGCATCGCTTAGACACGTCCGCACCGTGGGGCTTCGATCCAGGCGGTGGATGTCCCGCATCGAAGCCCCCGCCCGGCCTGCGCAGGCGGCACGGAGACGTGAGCACGGCAAAGAGGGCGAGGAAACACCCCCCGAGGGCCTCTTCTGCCGCCGAGGGGCGCGCTCGGAACTCGCGGCCTCTTGTGCGGCCTCTTCCTCCCCCTCTCCCCTTCTTCCTCCTCCTCCTCCTCCTCCTACTCCTCCTCCTCCTCCTCCTCCCCTCCTCCTCCTCCTCCTTCCTCCCTCCTGCTCCTCCTCCTGCTCCTCCTCCTCCTCTTCCTCTTCCTCCCTCTTCCTCCTCCCTCCCCCTCTCCTCCTCCTCCTCCTCCTTCTCCCCTCCCCCTCCTCCTCTTCCTCCTCCTGCTGCCTCCTCCTGCTCCTCTCCGCCTCCTCTGCTCCTCTCCTTCTTCTCCTCTTCTTCTCCTCCTCCTCCTCCTTTTCCTCCTCCTCCTCCCTCCTCCTCCTCCTTTTCCTCCTCCTCCTCCTCCTCCTTCTCCTTCTCCTCCACCTTCTCCTCCTCCTCATCCTTCTCCTCCTCCTGCCCCTCTGGGCCCCTCCGCGAGGGGCAGGGGGCGGCCGTGAGAGGAGAACGCGACTCGAAGAACAACATCGCCAGAAGCATAAACTTTTGGCGCTCTGCGCGGATCTCTCGGATCCGCGCTGGCCCCCCCCCCCTGGCGGCGCCTCCGGAGCGCGCGCGCCAGAGCCGCGCGCAGCGCCGACAGTTTACGTTTCTGGCGTTTGTTCTCCTTCTAGCGACGGCCGCCCCCTTGCCATTGCCCCTCACGCATCGACCTGGCCCCGAGGGCGCCGGCCCGAAGTGGTGAGGGGCGACGCTTCCCGTCCCGACACGCCCCAACGGCGCCGTGGCCCCTCCCTTCCCATGGGCGCCAGGGCGAGAGGCCCTGAGACGGCAACGGGCCTCAGTCCCTGGAGCTGTTTTTGCGCGTGGACCCGTTCCGCTTCGTCCTGCGTCGTCTGCTTGGCGGCCCCTGGGGGCCCGTCGTGAAGGGCCCCCGGGGGCCCGAGCACTGCGAACGTCGTCCAGGACGCCCCCTCGCCTCCAGGGTCAGACCGGGCATGTCCTCCTGCAGGCGGGTTTTGGAAGACAAGTGAAAAAGAGTCAAAACATTTTCCCAAACAGTCAAAAATCATCGAAAATGGTCCCCGGATTACTTTTTGACTATTTTCGAATCTTCCTCCTGTAGAGGGACACCTGCCCGACTTCACTCCAGGGCCCGCGTGCTCCTCCTTGGCTGCTGTTCGCCGCGCCGGCGGCTTCCCGATGGGGCCCCTGCCCGCTCCACAGCCCCCCCCCTCGGGGAGGCTGCGCTGCTGCTTCCCGGGGGCCCAGAGCAGCGCAGCACGTCTCATTCCTCCTCCTCCTCCTCCTCCTCCTCCTCCTCCTCGTCCTCGTCCTCCTCCTCCTCCTCCTCCTCCTCCTCCTCCGCCTCCTCCTCCTCCTCCTCCTCCTCTTCCCCTCGGGGAGGCTGCGCTGCTGCTGGAGAAGCTGCCCCGCGAGGTGAGCGCCATCGTCCTGGGGCGCTTCAGTGCCCACGGCACGAAGGACCCTCGAGGGCAGTGTCGTTCGGGGGAGGAGGAGGAGGAGGAGGAGGAGGAGGAGGAGGAGGAGGAGGAGGAGGAGGAGGAGGAGAGGAGGAACGACACGCAGACGAGGACAGGAATTACGCGAGGGAGGAGGGAGGAGGAGATGGGCCGGAAGAGGAGGAGGGGGAGGAGGAGGAGAGGAGGCGGAGAGAGGAGGAGGAGGAGGGAGGAGGACTAGGAGGAGGAGGAGGGAGGAGACTGGAGGAGGAGGAGGAGAGGAGGAGGAGGAGGAGGACGAAGACGAGGAGGAGGAGGAGGAGGAGGAGGACAAGGACTAGGACGAGTACGAGGACGAGGAGTAGGAGAAGAAAAAGGGACGATAGGAGGAGAGGAGGAGGAGGAGGAGGAGGAGGAGGAGGATGGGGAAGAGAGGAGGGGAGGGGGGGGGGGGGGGGATGAGGGGGGGGGGGGAGGGGGGGGCGGCAACGCCCACGGCCGCGGCCCAGCGAGCGCCCACGGCCACGCCCACGGCCCACGCTGCAGCGCCCTCAGCCACCCTCCAGGGCAGCTCCCGCGGCCCATCGCTTCGCCCCAACAGCCTCCTCCCCAGACCCCCCATCGAGCAATGAAAAAATCACGACGGGAGATTTGTTTTCACAACTTTGTGCCCCGGGGGGCCCTCACCGGGCCTCGGGCCCGTCGAAACACGACTCGGGATGAGAACCCGGCCCTGGGGAACAGGTCGAAACCTCTGGGGGTGGACGTCATGAAGAAAGCACGACGTCGGGGGTCTGGGTCCAGGGCGACCCTCGAGGGGGACAGGCTTCGGCGGGGGACGCGTCGGCCGCCACTCGCCCACGGATCGCCGCCGGGGTCCCCGCGGCCCACCCCGCCCCGCACCGGGTGGTTTCGCCATCGGCAGCCTCTCGTCGGTCTGTCGGCGACGCAGCGCCGCTGCCGGGTCGATGTTTCCCCCCTTGAGCTGGCCCCGCCCCCCAAACATTGCACCTTCTGGGAGGGGGTGCGTATCCAAGCTGCGCTGCGCCTCGCGGTGCCCTCTGCCCTCCAGGGCCCAGTTCCGATCCCATCGGTCCGATTCGACACCGCTGTCGGACTGCTCGATCCGATTCGACTCCGATGTCACGACGATCCAGTGCGGCCCGATGCGTGCGGGGCGCTGGTGCTCATCCTGGCGCGGCCGATCCGACTCGATTCCAAGTCCATACCGATGTGGCTCGATCCGACGCAGATTCCGACTCGATCCGATTTCCGCTTCGATGTTGATTGGTCCGGCCTTCTTTTTTCCTCTTTCCTTCTCTCCAGCGCCCGCCAAATTACTCCATGAGTTGTAGTCTCTCTCCCTATTTCTCTCTCTCTCTCTGCTTGTTTTCTCTTTCTGTTTTGATTACTTCTATGTATATATATACATATATATATATATATATATCGCTCTCTCTGTCTAATCCCGGCTCGAGAACACTTGTGCTCAGGGCGGCCCGCTTCGCGTGCCCCCCCGCATCCGCCCCCGCCTGAGAAGACCGGAGCCGCGACACACTGCGCGGCTCCGGTACGTGCCCTCGGTACTCATCACGCCGCCGCGACGGTTGCCAAAGACCCTCGCCGCTCGCGTGCCACTCCGAGCACGCGGCCGTCGCCCCGAGGCGAAGGCAGCAGACGCCCCCCCTGCCGTGTCAGATCTCGCACGCGAGGAGGGTCGCGTCGCTGCCCTCCTCGCGCGAGGTGGCGACCGCGCCAATCCAGGGCTGCAGGCAGCACGAACGGACCGACGCGCAGAGGACGGGCGACGGCTCCGCCCCACCAGCGGCTGGCCGTGATGCCGCATCCCACCAGGGTGAAGTCGGGCCTGTCCCTGTACAGGAGGAATGTTCAAAAACATGTAACAATAGTTTTGGGACTCTGTTTTGATCATGTTTTGACTATTTGGGGGCATTTTTCGAGTTTCTTTTTATTTTCATCCAGAATCTCCCTGTAGGGGGACATGCCCGAACTAAAACCAGGGACCTGCCGCGCCGTTCCTCAGCCGCGACGCTGCTCGCACTGGCCGGCGCCCGTGTATCCTTCACGCCCGCCAGGGGCGAGGGCGGACATTCGCCGTTGGAGGCGTGGTTCGCAGCGGTTCTGTCGTCTGCAGTGTGCAGGTCTGTCGTCGTCGAGGCGCGGGGGGCGCAGGCCTGCGCTCTGCACCTTTCATGTGTAATTGAATTACACATGAAGTGGAGATGACCGGAAGTGGAATTGACCGGAATTAGTCATGAGTGTTCTGTATCCTTATCCCTAGGTTTGGCATCACCTTACCTCGGTGCCGATCTTCGGGATGCCCGAGGTTTCTGAGGGCACATGCCCAAGATTGTCGTCGCCTCTGGCCTGCGGGTCTTGGGGACAGGGATGAGTTCGAGGCTGGTCAAAGTTTACGTCAGATATCGCTGCACGCGTTCGAGGAGGGCGAGGAACTGCTCCGGCAGTTTCTCGCGCTGGCCGTTCTCGGCCCTTCGAACGACCACTACACACTGGTCGTTGAAACTACGTATTTCCGGATTCCAAGATCCCAATCTACTTCAAGCGCCTTCCTAATTCAAGAATCGATATGCTCTTGCTGCGTGTTGTTACCATCTGGGAGGGCCTGAACCCAATCTATTTAATCCGCCTTCCGATGTTATGTTTTTACCGACTTCTTCCGACCGATGTGTACGTTGGCCTGGCGACAACCGTCCCTGTGCTCGAGCGCGTCGCCCGCACTACCAAGCCTGCGCCACGAACAGAAGTGGGCAGGGTCCTCCGCGCCACCGCGTGGGCCTGCGTGGTCTGCTGCACTGGATGGGGCCTGCGCGTGAATGGACACCGTGATCGTTGTCTTACTCATTGTTTTGCCGATCGGCGCGGGCCCTCGCGCCCCCCCCCCCCTCCCCCTGCTCGTGGAATTGATCTTGGCTGTTTGGGGCGCCCCTTTCGAGCAGGCGGAGGCTCCCCCATGGGGACGCACTGCCGCACACAGTCGCACCACGCAGAGGTCTGGAGCCAGAACCCCCCGCCTCCCATCCCCTTTTCCGCCCAAGATCGAGACCCCTGACTCCGGATCCGCCCTACTTTGGCTTTTTTTCCAACTTAAAATTGCGTCGGAAATCCACCTAGAAGAGGCAGAAAAAGTAGGGCGGAAATTGCTGCACCCAACATAAAATAGGGCGGACACCCACAGAAACAGCAACAGAAAAGTAGGGCGGAAATTGGCATCAGCGGGGCTTGAAAAGTAAGGCGGAAATTCCAAGCCCTACTTACGAATTTCCCCGAAGTAGGGCGGATCCTGAGTCAGGGACGCCGACCAAGTAAGAAGACACTCACCACGCTGTCCCCTGGTCCATCGCCGCGGTCCCTGCGTAGGCGGAGGCGCGGGGCGCAGGCGGAGAGAATACGAGGGCCCGACCGCACAGAACGACTGTGAGCAAAATCGTCGTCGTCGGTCGACGTCGACGTCGTCGCCGTCTATTCCCCCCTCCTCCTCCCCCTCACCCCTCCTCCTCCATCCTCCTCCTCCTCCTCCTCCTCCTCGCTCCACCTCCTCCTCCTCCTCCTCCAACCTCCACCTACCTCTCCTTCTCCTCCTCCTGCTCCTCCCCTCCACCTCCTCCCTCCCCTCACTGCTCCGCTCCTAGCACTCCTACCTCCTCCTCCTCCTCCTCTCCTCCTCCTCCTCCTCCACCTCCTCCTCCTCCCCTCCTCCTCCCCCCCCTCCTGCTCCTGCTCCTGCCTCCTGCTTCAAGTCGCGCAGCCCAGACCCATCGAGGCAACAGCCCAAGAGCGCACCGGCATGCTCTCGGGCTTATCTTCCCTTCCCTTTCTCACGGGCGCCCCGAACCCGGCACCTCCCTCCCTCGCGGAGACCAGGGAGGGGAAGCACACACACACAGACACAGACACAGTCGTCGATCTCCGAGAAACGGTGGGAGAAGATAGGAAGTGGGGGGGAAGACGAAAGTCTAGAAAAGAAGGGGGATCTTGGGATTTGTGCGTGTTTACTTGTGTGTCCCTGGGCCCCATTCAGAGACAGCGGCCCAATCGACTGGCCTCGGCGCCCTGCTGGCAGGTGCTGCTGCCACGCCGGGGGGGCGTGCCAGCCCCCCGCCCGAAGCACCACCGGAAGCAGTCGCCGCGCAGCCAGTGCCACCCCCGGGCGGTCTGCCAGCGCGATGCGCGACGGTTGAAAGGAACAAGTTTGCACCACCTGGGCGGCACGACAACTGATGATACGACCCCCCCGCCCCCGACCTTAACATTGAGAGCGGACGCGCACGCTTAGATGGAATGTCTCTTTGTTTTTGTCGAAGGGCCCCAGCAGATGTCACAACTACCAATATGAAAGTCGGGGGCGCGGGGGAGCAGCAGTGCCATCCGATTCGCAGCTCAAACCGAAATGGTGCACGTATTTTACTTTCAACAGGAGCTCCCCTCCAAAGATGCCGCCCGCACCGAGGCCAAGGCTGACGCAACCACCCTAAGAAGAAAACAAAAACATGAGCATAAACTTGTCGCGCTCCGCGCGGATTTCTTGGAGCTGCGGTGGGTCCCCCTGGCGGCGCCTCCGGCGCCGCCCCTGGCGCGCTCCGCGCGCCAGGGAGGGGGTTTCAGCGCAGATTGAAGGAATCCGCGCGGAGCGACAAAATGTTTTGTGTGTTGCTTGTCTTGTTCTTCTAGAATATACCATTAAGTCGGGCCTGTCCCTCTACAGGAGGAATATTTTAAATTATTTACGCTTCGCGTATCCCCACCAGCCCATCTCACAGCAGCAGCTCTCGCGAAGCATGTCGACAGTTGTGTTTTTGAGGCGTGTGTCCGCTGGGCTCCGTCTATCTCCCCTGTCCCTCCTTCCTCCCGCCTCCTTGTGAATCCTCCTTGTGGGGGGAGCGGGAGAAGGACGAGGCGGAGGAGGAGGGAGAGAAAGCGCTCCTCGTGATTTGAGTCGTTTGGGGTTTCTCGTCCTGGTGTGAGTCGTTCGGGCCCTTCTTCCTGGTGTGAGTCGTTCGGGCTCTTCGTGGTGTGAGTCGTTCGGGCTCTTCGTCCTGGTGTGAGTCGTTCGGGCTTCTCGTGGTGTGAGTTGTTCGGGCCCCTCATCCTGGTGTGAGTCGTTCGGGCCCCTCCACCTGGTGTGACTCGTTCGGGCTCCTCGTGGCGCGAGTCGTTCGGGGCCCGCGTCGTGGTGTGAGTCGTTCGGGCTCCTCGTGCTGTGAGTCGTTCGGCCGCCTCGTCCTGGTGTGAGTCGTTCGGGCCCCTCCTTGTGGTGTGAGTCGTTCGGGCTCTTCGTGGTGTGAGTCGTCCGGGCCCCTCGTCCTGGTGTGAGTCGTTCGGGCTCCTCGTGGGGCCTCTTGGGGGCATCTTGGAGCCTCGGGGGCCTCTTGGGGGCCTCTTGGGGGCCTCTTGGGGGCCTCTTGGGGGCCTCGTGGGGCCCTTGGGGGCCTCTTGGGGGCCTCTTGGGGGCCTCTTGGGGCCTCTTGGGGGCCTCTTGGGGGCTTCTTGGAGGCCTCTTGGGAGCCTCCTGGGGGCCTCTTGGGGCCATCTTGCGGCTTCTTGCGACCTCCTCAGAAGCGCAAATGAGCGCTGGCCACTGAGAAGGACAAAATGAGCCCAAAACCTTCGTAAAAAACAATGGTTTTGCTAGGAGGGAAGATAAGCGCGGCCCCCTCAGAAGGCCAAAATGGGCCCAAAACCGTAGTAAAATCAATGATTTTGGCTTCAGAGAAGAGGAGAGCATTTTTTCGTGCCCCCCCCGGCGGGGCCAGAATCCTCGTGAGGGTCGTCGTTTTTTTGGCCCTCCCAGGAGTCGAAAAAAAAACCTTCTGACCACCCGCGGGACGACCTCTCCAGGCCCAGGGGGAGGGGGTAGGGGGAGGGGTAAACCCCTCCCCGAAGGGGAAGAAGGGGGGTTGGGGGGTTGAGGACAGAGAGAGCTCTCTAAACCACTCACGCCCAAAGGGCTGGTGGGATTAGGACAAAAATAGTCTGAGGACGATGTTTCAACTGGTTCTGCAATGTTTGAATAGTTTTGGATTTTTTTTTCCGTCTAAAATCCCCTTGTAGGGGGACACAACCGACTTAAAACCAGTGCCACCCGCGGGCGGTCTGTCAGCGCGATGCGCGAGCTCCCCTTCAAAGATGCCGCCCTCGCCGGGGCCAAGGCTGACGCAGCCGCTCTAAGAAGAACAAAAAACATGAGCATAACCTGTTGGCGCTCCGCGCGCATTTCTTGGAGCTGCGCTGGGCCCCCCTCCGCGTGGAGCGTCTAGCGACGGCCGCCCCCTTGCCCCTTCCCTTGCCCCTCTTGCTCTTCCTCCTGGCGTTTTTTTCTTCTTCTGGCGATGGCTGTTCTTTTTCTTCTTCTAATCTACCGGCGCGGTTCGCGAGCCCCACTTCAGCGATGCCGCCGGCTCCGAGGCCAAGGCTGGCGCAACCGCGGCAGGGGGCGAGAGGCCCCCCCTCTGCCAAGCGGGGCCCGGGCCCAAGCGGCGCTCTGACCATCTCCTGTCACGAGGGGAAAAAACACACAGGCACAATTAATCGGCGATTCCCAGAAAATATGGGAAAATATGGGCAAGTGGGAAGAAGGCAAAAACCAAGAAAATATTGGAACATAGGGGGATATTTCTATTTGTGTGTATTTATACTCTTGCACAGGGTGTCTCGAGCTCCGACCACTTTATTTCGGCGTCGTCGTCGCTCCCCCCCAGCTGCCGTGTGCCCTTCATGTGTCGCTATATGTGTCGCTGTGTGCCTTGTGCCCTTCATGTGCCGCTATATGTGTCACTATTTGTGTCTGTGTCGCTGAGTGTCGTTATGCGTCTCCATGTGTGCGTCGCTATGTGTCGCTGTGTGTCGCTATGCGTGGATATGTGTGCGTGTGTCGATACATGTCTCTATATGTCGATATGTGTCGACATGTGTCGCTATGTGTCGCTCCCCAGCGCCCCAGCGCACCGCCCCCTCCGCCCCGACGACTTTATTGCGGCGTCGTCGTCGCTCCCCCCCCCTCTCCTTCTCCTCGGCAACCCAGCGCGCTGCCCCCTCCGCCCCAACCACTTTATTTCGGCGTTGTGTCGACATGTGTCGCTATGTGTCGCTCCCCAGCACCCCGGCGCACCGCCCCCTTCGCCCCGACGA